TGAACAATGTTGAGTAGTCTCAGCCGAACCTTAAGAGGTAAAATGAGCCATCGCAGTGTCCGTTTAGTGCAGTTTTTGTGCAACAAAATTGCTTAATATTGGTGTCCACGTCCGTTTAATAAGTAGAGGTGTACGCTGAATGCAGGTTTATTTTACAGTAACCGTGGGAAGAAAATTTTGGGACTCAAGCTGGTGTCCACTTAATAGAGGGAGTCCGCTTAATATGGGGTTCGCTTAATACAGGTTTCACTATAAAATGTTTAAGCAAACAACCGGAACAATGATCCTGCTGGTATACGTGGATCAATAGTGATCTGATCGGCTTCACATATAAAATGAAAAATATAAAAGAAGAAACCGACACAACGTAGGATGAGTTTTTGAAGGTGTACTATATTTCGGCTGGCCAAACCAGCCTTCTTCAGGTACAATGAGAATTTTACGTTGGGACGTGTTTTTATGTAGCATATTTTCGTAATACCGGAATTACGTATTTCCAGCAGTTACGAAAATATCAGTGCTACATAAAAACACGTCCCAATGTAAAATTCTCATTGTACATGAAGAAGGCTGGTTTGGCTAGCCGAAATATAGTATTTAAATAGGGTTGAACTCTTGCACTCTATGCTGATATTTTGGGCTACCAGTGTCACGAGTAGCTGTCCGGCATGCATGTCGCGGCTATTTCAGACCCCGTCACGTCAACTGGTCATAACCGTTGTCGATAACTTAAAATAGGACGACTTTGACATATTAGCAAAAGGACGGTCAGATACACTTTGCAAGATAAAGCAGCCTCTACCAACCTACCCTGAATGATAATGTTAGCAGCGAAAGGCTTTATCCTTACTAGCTTGCATCTATGATAAGCAAATATTTTCAGCTTCTGTGATTGTTATTGTTAATTAGTTACTTATCTTGCGTTTAACTTCAGCTGTTGCTTCTATTCTCAACGGTCACCTCTCAAGATGTATGTCATGTAAAAAGTGCACGAGAACACACATATTGGTCTGAGGATAGTATTCTTGGACTATTTAGGATTGATTTATCTAGTTACTCAATGGAGTATTTCAAGGGCCACAACTGAGTTCTAAGACTTAAAAATCTCGTAATCGGCTTATGATTACAAGAAATGTTTTTCAACGTTAAGGGGTAGGCAAAGACGGGCATCGGAGACAACAATATCCTTTCCAACGTTCTGGCTCGAAAAAAAGGTTTTTGCTTTGTCTGAGGGTAAATAAAAAGTTTCTTAGGGAAGGTACGTTTTTTATTGGGGGGGGGAGGGTTGGCCGGGGCTTCGGAGGGGAGGGTCATTAGTAAAGTTTTTACGAGTTGGGAAGGGTAGAAACCTGTTTTATTCGCAACCGGGGGAGGGTCAGTTTTTTTTGGCAAGGAAAAAATTACTCCACGTCGCTTAGTTGAATCTTATTTGTTAACAGACATGCGAAGTGTATAGAAACCTAAAACTTGTATATAAAAGCAAAGCTACCAGTCAAAATTAATCTAAATTATTTACAGGTGTCGAAATATTATATCAAAAAACTATCTTGTCCCAACTAACATGATTGTCTCTCTCGACCCGTTCCCGCTTTTGTCCATATTTTGACGGCAGTAATGTTTCCGCGCGGTGTTATTTTTGTCTTGGAAGAGATATGTGTGTGTGTGCGTGGGGGGGCAGGGTCAGATGTTTTCGTGTAGGTATTTGTGAAGGGTCAGGCATAAAACACCCCTATTGTTTCCACGCTGGACAAGCGTAATAATCATGGCTATAATGGTACAGTAAAATTGAGGGTATACATTATTCAAGGTATTTAACGAAATTTAGCCGGAAATAAAGGACTGGTGATTTATATCGCAAAAGAGTTACCATTACGTCAGTGGAGTCCCACATCCGCAGTTTTCTATGGAGTTCCATCCCCGCCAAAAATCAGAGTTGATCACAACATTCAACTTGACAGTCTAACAATTAACTTGGCAAACATCAACATCATATTTTATTCCTCAACTTTGTACTTTGTATCACAATCATTGAAACTTTAAACATCAACTTTCAAAGTGACAGTTCAACGTTCAACTTTATTCATCAACATTCATGTTAACATGTCAACAATGATCTTGACACTTGGGCTGTCAGCAAAAGATGAAGTTTGA